GAAGAATTTGTCGTAATCTGAGTTTAGAAATAAGTTTACGGGTTATAATACTAGTTTTTAGCAATATACAAGTAATAGTATGGGTAAAACTTTCAAATAATTATTATTATTATAATTATAGCGTAGATCAGTGATATGCCGCAGCTATAGGTTCTGTTTTTCTGTTTGAGAACTTTTGGATGCATCGGAAGTTGTCCGAAAGATGACAAACGCCGCAACACGTGATAGCAGACAACGTTACCTTTGACCTGCCCATTTTTTTTATTAATATTACTTCCTTCGTCCCGCTATGATTGTCCCATTTTACCTTTTTGGTTTGTCCCACTAAGATTGTCTCATATCAAATTTGGTAAACTTTGTGTGTCTCTAAATCATTTTTACTTTATCAATTCAATATCAACCACATAAACCACTTTTTATTAATTTGTGTGTCACTCCCTTTTGTCTCATTGTTAGGGGGACGGAGGGGGTATTATTTATTATTATAATTATTACATACATGTTTCTATACATTGTAATATATAAATATATAGTCATTATACATATACCAAATGCTTGTAGGTACACACACATATAGGTTTTAGTTCTAATAAGAACATGATCTTATGAGAAAAATGAGAATGAATCTGGACCGTTAGATTTGCTTTATGTGAAATTCAATGTGCATTAGATGAAGCCGTAATGTGTATTAGGTGAAATTGAAATGTGCAGTACAAAGTGTTACACTCCAAAAATTTAAATAAATAATAATAATAATCTTAAACAAATAAAATTTTAACATTTGACAAAAGTGACATTTGGAGAGATCATTAATAAAATAAAATAATACACTTAATAAGACACCTATATAACACACCTAATTATAGATATACATACGCTACCTACCTAATAATAATAGTGTAAAAATTTAACTCATGCGTAAATTGGGTATAGGAATTTTGGGCCGACCAGACTTTTACTCTGTATATGCGATGTATACATATGCACCGGCTCAGCTTCAAACATACATAGTACGAGGGATATGAAACACAGGAAACCCTACAACCTAGAACCTTCGGCATATGCATATAAATAGAGGCGTCGATGAACGACCCTGCACGGAGGAAAGTAGAGCTGCGCCTTAACCATGCGAACAACGACCCTGCACGGAGGAAACTCACCGAAGAAGAAGACCCAGTTGCTCTGTTTTAACAAGAAATTTAACTAATCTAAATATGAAATTGATGAGTTGGGAATCAAGCAAAAAGAGATCAATAATACTTTTATTGATCAAGAAATATAGATTAACTAAGTATAATAGTGTTGATCGAATAGTAATATAATTGAACACTGTGTATGCTTGTATATATGTTCGTATATGAATGTATGAATATATCCCCTTTACATTGCTTTCTAATCTATTTAATGGGATAAGGCTTCCCCTTCCGCAAGACAAGCCACGTGCACCGAGTTTCTTGCTCTTCTCCAACCACTTTGACTTGCACGTTAGCTTCCTTGGTCTTATCCTTCATATTTATTGACTTAAATAATTACAAGTCTGATTCATCCTAAAAGACCTTGGGCTGACTTCCGATTTCAATTAAATCTTTGGCCCAATTGACAAGGTGAACTTTTGGGCCCAACAATTGCCCCCTTTCGAGAAGTTGAGGCGTAGGGGCGCACATGTCAACCCGTTAAGCATCAACTTGTCGAAATCTTGCACGTCATCCTTGAATACAGCTCATATAAACTTGTCCTTTGTCTGATAAGACATGTTGTCAACCTGCCATTTGTATAACAAGACGCCTTTGTCAACTCACCACTTTTCTGACGACATGCTCCCTTCAACCTGTCACTCGTCTGCTACTTCCATTAACTCGTCATATGCTTGTCTAGACGCTTCTATCAACATGTCACTATCTTTGCAAGTAGTTTTTAGATCGAATTTGTCTCCTTGAGTGAGGTGACGAAGAACGAAAACTGGTCTCCTGTCCTCTTCCTCCAGATTTGTGCTAATGATCGTATCTAAGCAATGCTGGCGAGTCGTAACTTCGTGCAGGTTGATGTCGACACTTCGGTTGGCAATTATGATTTTGTGCCTCGTTGTATAAATGACGAGTTTGGCTCCGTACCCTGCAAAAAACTTTAAATATTGTTTCGTTTATGGTTTTAGTAATATCGTCGACATGAATACTTGTGATTTATGCCAATGTCGTTTGTATCATCTCCTTATGTTTTGGAGCTTGTGTTGTCATGCTCTTGGAGCACATGCTTCTGTTGTGTGTTTATGTAGTTTTGTGTTGTGTTGTGTTGTTTTTGTGTAGTTTTGGCCAAAACTCGTAGGGATTCTCGGTCCGTGCCTCATATTTCATATATGAAGGACTCAAGTTTGCCCCACCTTCCCTTGTTGCGGGGTTTGTGTTAGCGGTTGTCGCTATGTGTATCGCATGTCGGTTGTCCTTTGCGCTGTCAAAATCCTGCATACAGACATATCGTCAAAGTCTGGTCATTGGCTTTTGGCCAACAGCCCTCCGATGCTTAAGTCAGTAATTATTGGAGCAAACAAATAAGATTTTATCAAAGGAAAAGGACTCACCAGGCCGATCATCATGTACCCGAATGATGTTGAAGTTGAAACGTGAGAATCGAACAACTTTAATTTATTTGGACATTATTGAAAACATTAAAAGTGATAGAAAATTGCATGGAAATTGAAAAGACTAATGAAGTTGACAAAGATTTTTGTGATGAAAATGCGAACAAAGAGAGTACCTGTGACACTTTACCTACTTGTCTGGTTTGATCAGTTTGCTATTGTCGGTCAGCACCTATTCAAAGACTAATTTGGCCGTTGGTTTAAGGCCAACGGCCCTCCGATGCTCAAGTTAGTAATGGAAGTAAAAGAATGGTATATCGACTGTACTAATTAAATCAGAAATGCAAGGGTTTTAAGTGTACCACATTCTAGCTTCTCGGTACTTGCTTACTGTCGACAGATTGCAGTCGATATGCTCCCTGTCCGACGACTTCAATCATGTCGTCAAATCTACCTCGTCACAGAAGTGACAACTCGTTCTTCTGGTCTCGAATAAGGTCTTCCGTGCTTGTAGTCGTGCCTCCTGGGGGATTCTGATTTCCCGTGCCCCCCTTCCTGCTCAATCTGTCCGTGACGGGCTCGTAAGTCTTCTTCTAGACGAATGAAAGCTAGTGCCTTTGCTTGGACATCTTCGAAGGATCGAGTAGGATATTTCGTCAACTCCCGATATAACTCTCTGAATCCTCCAGCAGTCCTTGTCTGAATGCTTCAATTGTCGTCGGCACGTAACACCTGGGGATTGACACCTTCTCCTTGTTGAAGCGATGCAAGTATTCCCGTAAGGATTCATTTCGCCTCTGGACCACCCGATAAAGATCACTGGTTTGCTTCTCCAAGGCTCGACTACTTGCAAACTGTCGATTGAATAAGTTGACCAGCTCTGCAAATGAATTGATGCCTCCATTTGGTAGGTTGACGAACCACGTCAATGCTGGTCCTGACAATGTCGTCCCAAATGCCCTGCACATGCAAGCTTCTCGTTGATCCGGTCTGACTGAGGTGACTAACATTTGCTGCTTGTACTGAGCGACATGTTCCACCGGATCAGAAGTCCCATCGAACAGTCTCATCGAGGGGGCGGCAAACTTCCTCGGAATCTCGACATCAGTGATACGTCGTCCGAAAGGCGAGTCCGCATAGCACGTTTGTGAGGCAACATCTAGCGGTGGCGGGACTCCAGGTATGTCGTTGATTTTTTCCCGCATCTCCCTCATCTCCTCCATGAGGATGGCCAAAGTGTCGGTCAGGTATGTCTGCATCTGCGAAACTGCCACTTCGGGTGGTGTTGTCGTTTGGGCTGCTCCTCGTTCGGTCGGTGATGGTATGTCGATGATCTCCGGCTCTTGCCGCCTCTGGTTGTTGATGTCGGCATGTCTGGGGATGTCGACATGATTTGGAACATGTCGTATCTGGGGCGCTGCAAACAGATTACGGAATACGTTCCTTCTAGGATTTGGGAAAGGAAATGAACCAGTCGAGGGCCCGGATTTTCCAGGCATGTCGGCTCCAGAATGAGGGACGAAAGGATGCATGGGAGCCGACGTGGTGGTCGAAGTTGGCATCTGTTGGTTGATTGTGTGCAAACCCGACGCCACCGTTCTGGTCCACAATGAATCCGGGAAGAAGTGCATTGGGATGCTCGTGGTTGGGGTTGAAGCCGGAACTGAATCCATGTCCAATCTTGTTGCCACGGTCATTATATCATTTCCCTGTCGTAAATTGGATACTATGGATGCCACCGATTGTACTTGAGATCGTAGAGCGTCGTTTTCTCGTTGGAGGAGGGTGATCCGCTGCCGCATTTCTTCCTTGACAGCTTCTAGTTGCGCTTGAACCTTCACCGCCGAATGATTAGAATTTCCGGCCATGCGTATTTCTTCCCTGAGAGCTTCTAGTTGTGCTTGAATCTCTGTCACCAAAGAATTAGAACTTCCGGCCATAATTGATTCTCTTTTTGCAAGAATTTCCCACAGACGGCGCCAATTGTTTTAACAAGAAATTTAACTAATCTAAATATGAAATTGATGAGTTGGGAATCAAGCAAAAAGAGATCAATAATACTTTTATTGATCAAGAAATATAGATTAACTAAGTATAATATTGTTGATCGAATAGTAATATAATTGAACACTGTGTATGCTTGTATATATGTTCGTATATGAATGTATGAATATATCCCTTTACATTGCTTTCTAATCTATTTAATGGGATAAGGCTTCCCCTTCCGCAAGACAAGCCACGTGCACCGAGTTTCTTGCTCTTCTCCAACCACTTTGACTTGCACGTTAGCTTCCTTGGTCTTATCATTCATATTTATTGACTTAAATAATTACAAGTCAGATTAATCCTAAAAGACCTTGGGCTGACTTCCGATTTCAATTAAATCTTTGGCCCAATTGACAAGGTGAACTTTTGGGCCCAACAGAATCGTTGCCGGACTGGTCGCACGCCGGAGGAGAAGAAGCTGAAGTTGCTTCCATCGGACTTGACTAGCTGCTGCCACTGGACTTCGCCGCCTATAACAAACCTATTTCTGCCACTTTGTTGCCGGAAGGAAGAAGAGAGAACGCCGGAGACTGCGATGCCGAAGTTTGAAACGGAACTGAGTTGACCGGACCTCGCTGCTGCATGCCGTTAATTACTGCCACGCCGGAAAAAGAAAAAAAAAACAACCTCTTTGATGGACTGCCCCTTGCCGAGAAAGGGGAGAAGGAGGCATCGTTGCCGACTGCCGCCGGTCGTCTTCAGACTGCTACAGTACGTACTCGTACGTAACTCTCACTCCGTATTATTTTCGTCATTTTGCGCTGAAGGTTATAGCTTGGCCATTGAAATGCTTGGGTCGGATTGTCTAGTTAGCTTAATGGGCTAAGTTCTAAAAGTTATTAATCTTGATATCACAGTATTATAATGAATGATTATAGGCCTTTTTATTCCAATATTACTAAAAATAGGATAAAAGATAAAAAAGTGATCTATTTTTTAAAATTCTAAAAATGTGACCAACATCACAATTAACCCTACAGTGTAAACTGTAAAGTGACTCACGACAAAGTGACTCCGGCCAAAGTGACCCCACCGAACACAGTGACTGCCCCGCCGGACACAGTGACTGCCCCGCCGGACACAGTGACTGCCCCGCCGCCACAGTGACTGCTCCACCGCCACAGTGACTGCCCCGCCGTCATAGTGACTCCGGCCACAACGACTCCGGTCACAATGACTCTGGTCATAGTGACTCCGCCGCCGCATAGTGACTCCGCCGCCGCAGTGATTGCCGCACCAGCCAAAGTGACTGCCCCACCGGACCACTGCAGCCGCCCCTCGTGAGTGACTGCCGCGGCTCCCTCGTTAGTGACTGTCGCCGCCCCAATGTTAGTGACTGTTGCCGCCACATCGTCAGTGACTGTCGCTGGCCCTTGTTAATGACTGTCGTCGCCTCCGCAACTGTACACCACCACGAGTGCCACCACCGGCCACTGCAACCGGCCACCACTGCTCTGGTCAGCAAATGCTCACCAGCCCTCAGCCACTGCCCCGCGTCACCACAACCCTTTCCCTGCGTCACCCCACCCCCCCTCCTTTCATCACTCAGCCGCTGCCTCACCCAACCCCCTCCCCTGCGACACCCAACCCCCTACCAGTCCAGCACCACGCCCCAGTCCCTCTAGCATCACCACGCCCCAACCCCTCTGGCACCAGGCTACCACGTTGTAGTTATCGGTGAGTTAGCACCGCCTCCGTCCCAACCGGCCACCACTATAGATCTATAGTTCTAGCTTCATTGCAGATCTGAAACATAGCCACCACACTAAATCTGAACAAGAGAGGACGTAGAAACACCATAGGAAGGAGAAGAATAACTGGATCTAATATCATACTAATTCGATTTCGTTGTTTTTGTTGAGGTTGGAGTCGCCGTTAATGGCGTCTCACCGCCATCGCTCAATCGCTGGAGTTCGCCGCAACACGGATTTCATCTGTGAGGTGAAGAGCTGCTGAGATTGGGGGCGGAGGGCGTTGGAGCCTCGCGTCTTGCATCAATGGCAGCGTGAATGAAGAAAGAGGCAAGCATCGGGTCAGTTTTTTGGGAAAATTGAGAAAAGTCATAAATTTAGAAATCAGAAGTCAATTAGTGATACGCGTGCAATTTTTTCATGATTATATAGATGGACTAATCAATTGAATACGTAAATAAAAGTGATTAATCGGGAAAGAGATAAATTAATACCATGAATTGGATAATAATCAACGGAGAATAATTATTAATTCTATAATTTTAATATTCTTAGAAGGTGAATTTGGAAAAGATCGAGATATAGAAGCTTTGGTTGGGAATTATCGCGATTGAGGTAAGTTCTACATCAACCAAAATTATACTTTTCCTCGTAAATATATATATGATTATTTATTTGAAATTATTTGAGAACTTTGTGAGATTTCTAGCATTTACATTTATACTTCGTATTTGAGTATTTAGAATTATTTATGGATTGTTATTGAGGATTATATTTGAGATTTGAGTATTGAATATTGTGTGATATTTTTGAGTATTTGAAGTTATGTATTAATCATTATTGGGATTGAGATTTGAGCTATTTATGGAGTATTGTATATTTTAATCATGTTGGGAATTTTCGAGTTTAAAGGATCGATTAACCCTTATTTTGGAAATTTATGTCTATGTATAATATGTGATGCATTGTTGAATGTTGAATAACTTTGGGGAAATTACGTGAGTAGTAATCCCTAAATTTTTGGAAAATAATAAAGATAAAATGAACCTTTCAATGTAAGGGCATCACGGGAGAAATCCGGGATGTCGGTGTCCTCCACGACCTTGACTGTGGAGAGTTATTAGGACTGCTATTACTTGTTGGGATTTGGTGTCCACGACCTTGACTGTGGAGATTGGTGGTTGTTTATTGTATTTAAAATTCGGGCAAAAAGACCCTATTATTCAGTAGTAGCAGTAACCTAGTCACTTATATAGGGTAATCCCTTTTTGGTGGAGTAGGGGGACGTTGACGTCCGAACTACTTGGACTTCTTACTACTCGTAGGGCTTGGAATCCCTTTTAGAGGGTGTGCACACTTAAGGTAGAGGTTCAGTTTCCTCAAGTTAGAAGTGGTACCGGCAAAAGTCCCGGGGTGGCCGTACATAACAACGGACCATCGGGCTCAATAAAATGTTGAGCACCGTCCTTCAAATGTATTAGGAGTACAAATTATATTTGATTGGCTTGGATTTGAGTTGTTGGATTATTGTATTGAATTCGAGTTGGATTGAATTATCAAATTATTGTGGAATTTCAAAGTAAAATTACTTTTGAGTTTAATTCGGTTTGATTATGCTAATATTGATTATGAGTGTTTGGAAGTATTTTGAGAATGATTTTTTGTACTTTATGTATATTTGGTACTTCGTATTTTGTAATTCTTGTAGTTTGGAAATATTTACTTATATTTGAAGTACTGTTATTTTATTAGTGATGATGTTATTATGAGAAGATTTAACAAATTGTTAAAAAAATATTTTTTCCTCCCCAATGTTTTTTTTACAAAAATATTAAATTATATTATTTTATGGGGTTAGGTGGAACTTACTTAGCACTGGCTAATTTTTTTTTTCTTTTTTTTTTCTTTCTGTACTTGAATGTGTACAGGTAATGCTTTGCTGATGATGTTGACTTTGAGAAAGCTTCCGCTAGAGAAAATGTAGTTAGTAGATAATATTGTAGTTTAATTTAATTTTGAAGACACTTATTGAGTTTAATTATTTTTGTGGTGCTTAGCCTGTGCACTCGGTTAGGATAGAGCCGAGTGTGGCGGTAACGCCCCTATTTCTCTTTGAAAATTGTGTTGCACATTTCTGATGCTTTTCAAATGAAGATGTTTTTTTACTCTGAACAAATTATCATTTAAAGTTATATTTTGGGTGGAAATTTGGGGTGTTACACAAAGGGTACAATGTAGTTGCATTATGTAAAGCTAAATTGTGCATTAGGTGAATTTGAAATGTGCACTAGATGAAACAAAAATGTGCAGAATAAAAGGTATGAAACTAAATTTTGTACCTTTTATTATGCACATTTTCAGTTTCACCTAATGCACATGTGAGTTTATATTTTTATTCTACATATTTCAATATCATCTAATACACATTTCGATTTCACAAAATGCACAATCCAGCTCCACATAATTCAATCCAACGGTCCAGATTCATTCTCATTTCTCTCCTAAGATAGATCCGTTCTTACCGGAACCGCTCCGGAAGGCCGGACAGATTTTGGTCCGAACTTTTACCAAAAGTAAAACGTGGCCAACTTGTAAACGAAGTGGTGGATTATTATTACTCCACAAACGGAGTATTATTTTAATAGGAGATGTTTTGTAAGTACAATAATGCTCCGTTTGTGATACTTCTGATTTTTGTTGTTAAAACACAAACGTGGACCTAGTCTTGAAATTCATACTCCGGTATTAATGTTATTGAGAGTAAATGTGATGATAAATTATCAACCATTTTAAGAGCTTGTTTGGTAACGATGACTTTTTGCTTTTCAGGTTTATCGGTCAATTTTTCACAAAAAACGTAACTTTTGATTTTCGCGCATAATTCTGTAACAATAAGAAAAAGTAAGATTAAAATTATTTTTTGGCTGTATTGGGCGAAATTACTATGGAGGATCATTGTAGCTATTTTTTCATATAATTTTTTCTTTACTAAATTAATAAAATATATTTTAAATATTTTTTTCGACATATCAGCAGAAGCAGACAATACAACAACTTCAGCAGTTCAGCTAGAATTTCATAAATTTTAGCATAATCAGCCAATGTAGCCGATTTGGGTGCTATCAAACGGGCTCTTAAAACAAGTCATTCCGAACTAGTCACTAAATCTGTCACTTTTAAGGAAATTTTAAAACAAGTTATATTTTTGTCTTTTGAATTAAATTTAGTATTATTAATGACAGAATGCCAAGTTTTATATCACTGTCATATTTTTTTACTTAACACTTTTTGTTTAACCATTTCAGCTCAATCAGAATTTTTCCTATAATTAAAAATGTTACATAGTATGTTTTGATGGTTCCATCATGCTAATAGCTTGATCGAATACTAATTAATTAAACCATTGAGTCGGTCTTGTCTCTAAGGAAAAACAAATTTGCATCTGCAGATCTACTACAAATTATCATCAAAGTGCAATGCACTCCTACACTAAACCATGGGTTAATATATTTCCAGTACATGTTCAAACAAAAGTTTAGCGAAAACTTGATATAATCCCTTAACATTTACAAAGTCAAACAAAAGATACACATCCTGCAAATATTTAACAAAAATATGGGATAAGCTCCAACTCAGAAGATTTGCATCTTTCGATTTTCTGCACAAAACAACAACATAGGGTTAATTTAATTAACAAACATAAAAGATACAATATTAAGTAAAATGTTGTCACACATACCCATTTTCTGGCTTAGGACAATTGCGGTTATCATGATCATGCCCTGATGGAGTATATGGCCCAGGAACCCCCGGCCCATAGACTCCTACTTCTCCTACACAAGTCTATTGAGCTCAGGAAACAACTCAGGCCCAAGTACAACGGCCCAAGCATCAAAGTAGCCCAAAATACATATTGGGGTGCCTTCGGCCTCCTTGGCCGAAGGCTCCAAAACTCACAGAATAGCCTTCTCTGGCATAAGAAGCTACTGGGAGAAAACGGCGAAAAACATGAGCCTTCGGCACTATCAAGCCCTCAGCATCGGAGAGGCCTTCGGCTGAACCAAGCCTTCGGTCACACGAGGCCTTCGGCTATGTAGGGGTCCTTGGTTACATGGAGCCCTCGGCTACACAAGGAGCCTTCGGCCAAACACGCTCAGTCATCAAAGATACCTTTTAGAGACAGCCAACCACCGCATTTAAAGCCACGTCACATCCGCCAACCGCATTCAATGCGGTGGACGTACCACTGCCGGTGCCAACCGGCTGATGTGACCCTTCGGCCGTTGGATTACTGACACGTGTCCTCTCATCGCATTTATTGCTGCTATAAATAGCAGCCCATTTCTCCTTGTAAACGATCCCAACTCCACATTTCGAGTTCATTTAATAAGATCGACTCTCTCTCCTCCTATTTACTCTTACTTCTCTCTAAGTTATTCCCGTAATAACCCCTCGGATAATATACCCCCCGGGTAGACTATCCATCATGCCCTTTACAAACACTGCATGTTCTATTGAGTGATGTCGCCTTTTCCATCGATGATTTCAATCGTTTACCACAACCTTTGTGTCTAGCATGATCCGGTTCAACAAACTCTAATGGTTCGGTGGGGTGTTCACGAGTCTTTTTACCACTTTCTTTGGATGTGTTTTTTGAAAGGTGCTCTTTAAATTTCAATCGCCACTCCTTGAGGAGAAGGAGGCCAACTTCCTGATCCTCTAATGACTCGGCTGACAAATCATAATATCCGCTAAGAAAAGCATCAAGTGCTTTCCTATCCCCCCTCCCAGATAAAGCCCTCCTACGATCTTCACGAATTTCAATACCATTTGCATCTTTCACTACTCACGAATTTCAATACCATTTCAATCGCCACTCCCATTCTTATCTTCATGATCTGATGTGTTCTCTGTCTCCCTTTGTCGAGAAAGTGCTCTATCCAACCTAGTAACAAACTCATTAAAGCCACAACCTTTGGACACAAATCACCCCCAAGTTATTGACCTACTATTCCCTAAATATATATATTATTAGTTTCTATATATATATATATATATATATATATATATATATATATATATATATATATATATTTGTAAAGACAAAAGTCATCCTGAAATTCATAAGTCAAGACAATGCAAGATGGTCATATAGTGATACCTACATATTTTTCTTTTTCTTTTGTCCCATGTAATTTTTCATTTTTTCTTTGAGTCAAAAACAAATCACCCCCAAGTCAGGATCTTGTGCATCTTTACCTCCCTGTCAATTATAAAAAATTGTTCAATACATTGTGTAGAAAATAAACATCATTCAAAAAAAAATGAAGTTAGAGCTTTTACTATATTTTCGTATATGATTTCTCTGTGTGGCATACTTCCTGTGCGATGAGGCATTTCCATATCTGATGCAGACCTATTCATAGAATTCTGCTTACTTATTTTCTACACAAAGTACAGTATTATAAACTATTAAATTACTTTTTTGGATTGATTTTTTCGTTTAATATAATATTCTACTATATAACTATGTCTCATTTTATGTGTCGTGCTTGGGATTTTTTAAGATTATTTAAAAAGTGTATGTAATAGAGGTTAATGCAGAACACAGAAAAAATAGATTATTTGAAGATGATGATTGATTGACTTAAACGAATTTTGAGATTATTAAAAAATTAATTGTATAATAATATTTAAATGGTAAGAATCATAAAAACAACTGATTATTAGAGATCATGAATGGAGATGCTCTTATACATTAATCACTTAACTCCTATAAAATAATTAATATGGTTTCACATTACCATAAAAAAATCGCATAGTTAAACCTATGTACTATATACTGACTAAGAATACCAATCACCACTTGATCGTGATTATATGATAATATCTGATAACATTACCATGGGCCGGTTTGGTACCTGTTTTTCGTCTTATCAGCCTACCTTTTTCACCAAAAGCGTAACTTTTGATTTCACGTGTTACATTTTGTAATAATAAGGAAAAATAAGATTGAATTTATTTTTCTGGTCGTATTGGTTGAAGTTAGTGTAGAAGATTATTTTTACTATTTTTTACATACTACATATAATTGTTCCATTATTTTACTAATAAAATAGTTTTTTTTCTTCTTCATAAATTAACATAATCAACCAATTCAGCCACTTCAGCGAGAACTTCATAAATTTCAGCAGAATCAGCCGATTTGGGAATTACCAAACGGGCTCTATATAATTACCACTTCAACCCTAATTTCAAAGTGATTAAGCATTCAAATATCATCAACAAGTTATTTAGAATTCGAATATAAAAGGAAATGTTGATATTAAACCTATTGACTATTGGTAACATCAAAGGTAGATGCACTAGTGCAAAATATGCATTCTATAACTGACATTTAATATGGGTTAATGTGTAACTGTTATGGTATAGTAACACGGGGTTAAATTCATCATAATTAATAAAAGTCTTTCTTTTGCTGTGTGGGTTAGATTTATAAATTTAAGATTAATTTATAACGGTTGCATAAATTAACCCATATAAAATGTAGAAACGGGGTCTTATTTATAATATTTGAGAATTCGAGATCCTACACGAGGTCATAATTCTAAATAAAAGAAATTAGTTTTCATGTCAGGTCTAACTTTAACCCTTACCAAATGTCCCTCGATTTTGGTATGTGAGGTAAACCTACGCTCGCTGCCAGATCCTCCAAACTACGTCCCTTGAAATTAGTTTTCAAGCCAAAATGCATGCCGCTCGCTCCTCCCTTCATCGCAGCTACTCAAGTGACCTGAGGTCCTGACGGCCAGCCAACATCACACCTCACCTCTGGAGTCCTATCGGCCACTCTTCCGGCCGCTCGTGCCCAACGGTTAAGGCCGGTGCGAAGCAAACTGCCCTAGCCGCTCGCTCCTCCACCTCTGGCGCAGCGTCGCGTCGCGAGTCACACCAGGACGAAAATCTCCCACCTCCGTTCTTGAGACCTATCGGTCACTCTTGTTACTGGTCGAGCGCAACGTGTAAGTAGTGACACCCTCTGGCCCTGTCGGCCTGCTTCCTTGGTTAGCAGGTCTAACTTAGCAGATTCGTTGCTCTTACTTAATTTAGCAGCTTATGGGTTATCTACTGATAAATGGTTGATTATCTTCTTCTTATATTTTTAACCTATTTTTTCGAACTTCATCGGAAATTTTCATT